CTAAATGTATGTGACAGATTTTCTAGATAGAGAAAAGTACAAGTAGAGTAGTGGTCATGTTGTTTTGTGACCAGTTCAACATGTGGAGTGAAATCTGGACTTCATACAGTAATTAATGTTTGTTTTGTCTAATTGAAGGGACACAACATGTATTCTATAGCATAGAGATGTTAAAATGTGGATATATGTGTAACTGCTGACACTCAGCAGTAGTATGCTTATACACACCTGCTGCTGGGGAGCCAGCCTATATGAGGCAGCATCGTGGTGAGGCAGGCATCTCCCCAGTAGTGGGACAGGAGTCTGTGTGGAACAGTGTAACTGTGAACATTAACTGATAAACCAGAGCTCATCAACTAACTGTTTACATCCTTAATTTAGTCATGTTCATCTTGAACATTATAAAGTTAGTTTTTTCTGTTGGGCCTGCTTTGAAGAGTATCCAATAATTCAGTTTGGAAAAACTGTGTACCCAGAAATACTATGAAAAATAGATGGAAAATTGGTTCTGTCATCTTGACTGACAGCTATAAGCAGCAATGAGGTAATGGTGTTTAGCTCTGAGTAAACTTCTGTGATTCAGAACCACAATTCAGAGCCTTTTCAAATTCATTAAAAATAAGTTACTTAACTCTTCTGTTTTGTTTTGTTTAACATATGGTATTTGGCTGATTTCTGTTTAATTCTTTACTCCAAAATGGCAACAGTGCCTATCAAGTTATACTGGTTATAAAACTTAACTTCCATTCTGTAAGAAATTCCAGTGTTGTGAAGTCTATCATCAACCCACATTGGAACACCCCTCCCTCCCAAAAAAGTCCTGCAAAACTAAAACTGATGCATTTTATTTCAGAAATATCATAAAGATCCTGCCAAACTGCTTCTGTTTTGTTGTTGTTTTTGTCACTTATATTACACAACAGTACATAATATGTCAACATAAAAAGTGTGCCAGTGATTTTTATTAACATCTTCAGCTATTTTATTAGCTGCTGATGTAACTGCATTAGCCTGATGTGGTGATGGGAGTTCTTATCAGCTGTTCAATAAGTTTCAGTACCAGCAGCCTTTAGTTACATTACACTTTAAGAAAGTATTTTGAATCAGTTGCAGGTAACACACCCATTGCTTGCTTGAAAGTGTTTTTGATTCAAGTGTGGGAAACCTGCTATTTGTGCAGATTCATACAGAGTCCAGTATCTTTTTAGGCCCATACTGTCCTATGTTTAGAATATAAGATCAGCTATTGCCAACAATCTTTTATTTTTTTTATTCAGTTTTTCTAATCCTGCGCAAGATCTTGGTTGTACTTTGTATAAGTAAAAATGTAAAGAACACAAACTCATGATACCATCTATCTGTTTTGTTAGCCTTTAAGGTCCTACTAGTCTATTTAAGTTTTTCCTGTTACAGACTAACTCTGCTACCCCTCTGAAGCTTTTGTATAAGTAGATGGTCTAAGGCTGGGCCCTACAAATAAATGACAAAGGGCCAGCTATTAAGTGTAAATGGCACAGTTGCATCGAATTCAGTAGAATTATACTATCTTACACCACTTGAGGATATGATCCAAAGAGATTTTTTTAAATAAAACAATGGGGGAATATGCAAATCTACCATCATAAATATGTTCACTCTTTCACATAAAACTTCGGCTTAAAGTACTTCTCCACTCCAGCAGTTTTAATGGCTCTCATTTTATCCGTTGCTATAGTAAAAGGAATTTTTTAAACCATTGTCGATTATTATAAAAGACATCCGTTAAGAGAAACAGGGAACTTACATTACACTCCTATGTACTAATTGGGTTACAAGTTGATTTTAGATATAGAAGCTTTTTTTAACCAAGTTTAGTTTTTCTGTTGATGTGGGAAAGGTGTGTAGTATTCTTGTAGAATTCTGCATTGTATGGCTGAGTCAATTAAATTGAATTTGTGTAGTGTAGCATTGTTACATCAGTGGGTTATATTTTGCTTTGTTTCTGTATTATATCAGAAATCTCAGGAAATATAAAATCTGTGCCCAGAGTCCTTGAGCTCTTTTTGGGTCTTTGTGCGTCTACACAGCACTCGAAAGAAGATGCACAGTTTGCTTATTTTGTCATTTGGCACTGTCTACACTAGTGTTTTTCAACCAGTGGTAGGCGTACCCTTAGGGGTACTCGAAGTCTGGAAGATACTTCAACACAACTGAAGTTTGGAGAGAACTGAATTTTTGTTTTAAGTTTTACAGCACTTCATTATTTTTGTACTTTTTACATCCAAAAATTTAATCGCCCGCCCAGTTATGTTTAAGTTGTTTAAACAAATGTGTTGCAATGGTAGAAAAAAAATGGTCTGAAAATTGTAAGTAGTGGGGGTACACTTTTTTAAAAAGGGGTACTTTATTAAAAAAAAAGTTGAAAAACACTGGTCTGCACAGTGCTAAATTCTGAAATAAAGTGCTATTTCAAGCCACCCCTTACTCCTCGTAGAATGAAGCTTACAGGGATGGCAAAACAGCATGTGCTATATTTTGAAATAGTGGACGTGTTCAAAAGATGCGAGGTAGCTATTTTGGGCTACCTCTGGTATCCCAAAATAACTCGGGTGTGCAGACATGCCCTTACTGATTTTGATGCAGTAAAGACTCCTTGCTGATTCCCCGTATGTTTGCAGACTCACAACTTGGGTGTGTTGCTTATCAGACCTGCAATTCTGTGCATCTCTTTAAATGCTAGCTGACCTTTGTTTGAAGTGTTTAATAGCCAAAGTTTTAAAATACTTACCTTGATTAGGATTCTGTGCCTTCCAGAAACGTATGTGCCTCTGTTCTTGGGACATTCACCTCTATTGTTCCAGCATTTTTTGGTTTTCTCCAAATGTTGATACTTTGCAGTACAAACTCCTTAATCATCTGCTATTGCTACCAATCTCTCTGTTCTTATATGGCTTTTATTATTGTAATAGCTTTGCTATTCCCCGTTGCCACTTTACTATGCTGTTTCTATGAAAGGGTAAGTTAGCAGTAATTTCCCTTCCTTCCAGTCAATCTTGGCAGCTGCGGTTTCCTCTACTTTGGTGTCTAGAAACAACCACTCTCCTGCCTTCCCCATTACATGTTTGCATCTTTTCTTTGTTGTTTGCATTGTTGTGTTTTGGTCCCAAGATATTAGCAAAACAAGATGGGTGAGGCGATATCTTCTGTTGGGCCAAGTTTTCTTGGTGAAAGAGACAAGGTTTTAGTTACGCAGTTGTTAAAGATGTCTTTAGCTCGAAATCTTCACTTTCACCCACTGAAAATATTACCTCACACACTTTCTCAGAGAGACATTTTTTTAAAAAGCCATTCATTTCATTTTTCCCTGTAAGTCTTATTTTATGGAGCCAGTGAAGGTGTTTAGGTTTTTAGCTCCCTGGATTTTGCTGTAAAAAGCTTGGAGAGAAAGTGGGAGCCACAGATGCCCCTGCTAACCCATTGAGCACATCATATGACTTACTTTTTTTTAAATGAATTTTATTTTTGAATAGTACTGCATTAACTTCAGTCCCCAAAACTCTTAATCCTCCTTGAGCAACAGAATAGAAGTGAAACAGATAATAGAAAGCTTGCATTATTGTCTGCCAGTGATATCACCTCTCTTACTGGAGGGACCAACGATAAGGATGAGAATGAGAGTTTAGGAGAAATCTTAGCCTTCCAGATGTGCCAAAATCAATACAGTGCCACATGTTCAGTAGGAATTGGATTGACTCCCCCAACGCTACTTCACATAGGCTATTAAATGGCCATCAATGAACTGTAGTCAGCCACTGCCATCTGGTCTGGATTTAAACTGATGGCATAGGGTTGCAGGACTTTATCAGTCAGACATAATATTCTGGGTTGTCTCAACTTTCTTTTTTATTGGGGAAAATTAACATAGTGATGTAACTGAAAATTCCATTGTTTGGCTTGCAATAGTACCTAGAAGCCTCAGCATAGTTGGACCTGTATGAATGCGTAACAAAAGGGTCTGAGTCCTAAAGAGCTTACAGATGAACTAATATGTACAGAATATTAACTTAAAAATAAATTGTCAGCCTACTCCGGTCATCTGAAAAAGTGGCCTGTGCCCATGAAAGCTAATGATACCATCTATATGTTTTGTTAGTCTATAAAGTGCTACCAGATAATTTGTTGTCTTTTTCCTGTACAGACTAACTCGGCTACCCCTTGGAGCCTACTTTGAGTTAGAATATTCTGTAGTGAACTTCTCTTCCACTTTTTGGCTGTCACTGTGTAGTTGGTGTGACTTGAATTCAATTGGTAAAGAACATGCTGGGCTGAGCGAGTAGTCTAGCACAACATGGGCACTGTGGTAATGCAGATAAGCCATAATATCAAGTAGGTGAGTTTGAGAATTCTGTTTGATCTTTGATTCCAAGGTCGAGGAAAGCTCCAGAGTCAACTCTGGTCTGACATCTACTGGCTCCAGACCAGGCGCTGTTTGCCTAAGATGTGGAAAAAGCTACATTGAAGATCCACACAGGAGTATTTAAGCATCAGTTATATAGTTGTAGGGTGCATAGATGATAGGCTTTTTAGGATTGTTATGATTTTAAAAAACCCACCTTAATTGCGGAGTATTTGTATTTTCCAACAAAGATATGGTTGACCTGTCATAAACAAGGGGCATTAAGATTACCCAAATCGATATGGCTAGGTAGTAGGTAACCTAGTATCTAATTTATCACTTCACTGGCCTCTACAGCACATAGGATCAACTTTAAAAACAAACCCTGCCTTTACTGCATCTCAGTAGGAGTTCATTAACCTGATTATCTGTCATGATTCTCATAAAATATACAGGTAAGTTTAAAAACTATAGTATTCTGCTATAGTTAGTCACGCTCAGATATGTTTGTCTGTCATCTTTGACTTCTGTTCTCAGTGTTATCCTATCTAACCAGCAATGTAACTTACTTCCATTTTCTAACTTATGTTCTCTAAAACTCTGGAATGTTCTTGCTTACTTTCAGATCTCATCAAAAAACTAGCACAGCAGCAGTTTGGAAGTGTGCAGGGTGATTATCAAAAGGTAATATATCTACACATAATGGAAGTGTGTCTGTGTTCATAATTTAGCTGAAACATTAACATTCTCTGTTTAAAGAAGAGAATAACTTAACCTAACAATAATTGGATATGTGATTGACATCTGGTTATTTTCATGTTTCCAAAGAAATACCGTGTAAAAATCTTTTTTGAAAAATGCTAAGAACATTTTTGTAAAAAATGGTTTGTGAAATGCATTTAATCTTTTGTGCAAAACAAATATTTGAAGCCAATGTTTAAAAACAAAAAAGACAGATTTTAACTAGTTATAAACCTAACAATAATTGGATATGTGATTGACATCTGGTTATTTTCATGTTTCCAAAGAAATACCGTGTAAAAATCTTTTTTGAAAAATGCTAAGAACATTTTTGTAAAAAATGGTTTGTGAAATGCATTTAATCTTTTGTGCAAAACAAATATTTGAAGCCAATGTTTAAAAACAAAAAAGACAGATTTTAACTAGTTATAGAACAAGGGATTCCTGATGATATTCAGGTGCTAAAAGCACTTATACTCTAATAATGCTTTTTAAGCAGACCTGATTGTCTGTAAATATTTATTGTAAAATATATATTTGTCTTTTTCTATTTGTTTTATTTTTTTATGTCCTGGAAGAGCCAAAACCTGACTGAAAATATTCTTTAAAATAGAATTACTCAGGCAATCTTAGCAGCAGTTTTCTCAAGCACTCCAGCTATAAAAATGTAACTATCTGTCTCTCAGACTAGCTTGTGCTCTTTTTCTCAATTTTTTTTTTTTCTCCTCTTTCTTTTTCATGAAGCATGTTAAAGTTAGAAAACCATAATTGTTCAGTTCTAGGCTGGTTCCATTTGCTACCTCCCGACAGCTGAGTTTTTCACATTCCACTGATAAAGTATTTTTTTATTTTGAAGTGATTACGGACGGGGCTGGCTCTAGGCACCAGCGAACCAACCATGTGCTTGGGGCGGAACATTGCCGGGGGTGGCATTCTGGCCATCTCTGAGAGAGACTGGCCGGAGAACTCCTGAACTCCTGACTCTCACCGCCCAATGCAGGCCTCCCTGTGGCCGCTCAAGGCAATGGGCGGGGCAGCGGAGCGTGCAGTGGGCCAGCAGGGAGCCACCCTCCGCCGGCAGGCTGCGTGGGGCAAGTTGTGCTCGCAGCCCCGCAGTGATGGCTGAGGCACTGTGACGTCATGGTTCCAGGACTGCCTCACTGCTTTCCCTCGGCACTGGGGAGAAAAGTGCACCCTCTAGTTAGCGCGAGAGGGCGTTGTGGCAGGGTGGGGAAGGGCGGAGCAGCCCCGACAGGAGCACTGGCTCCCCGCTCTGAGGGAGCCTCCCATGAAGCAGACTCTGGTGCCCAGGGATCGTTCACACTCCTCTGACTGGCACCAGCCAGCACGGCCCAACATGTAGGGGGGCACACCATGGTCTTTGAGAATAGCAGCGGTGCCGGAGCGCTACGGCCCTAGTGGGTGAGCCGCTCTCCCCAGGCTATGCGGGGCAGGCTGCACAGAGCAATCTGGGGCCAGGCAATGGGCAGCCCAGGTCACTGCAGCCAGGGACCACGCTGCAAGCCAGGTGCCTATAGTAATCTTTCCACCTGCCTTGCGCTTACTAGTGACCCCTCTGGCCAGAGCGGGCACCCTTAGCCAAGGAGTGTGTGTACATTGGCAAATGGGGGGCGACTCTTCCCCTTTTCTCTGCCTCAGTGCTGGTCGCGGAGGGAGGGGAGAGCTGCAGCCTTGGTGGGGCCTGGCAGAAGGCCTCGGCACATCACAGCACTCGGCCATCAGCCCGGCTGCACTTGCCGCAGGTTGCCATCTGGGGGGGTGTCAATCGGGGGGCTGCAGGAGAGCTTCCACCCCGAGGATCCTGCAGAGCCACCCCAGTCCTCCCCATTGGGGGCTCGTACCCCATTCCTCCCTCACCTCCTTCCACTCACCCCTCCCTAGACCCCCTTCCTGATGTACAAAATAAAGGACACGTGTGTTCAAAAATAGAAACTCTCTATATTGAATAAAACTTGGGGAGACTGGGAAAAGGAGGGGGGGAGGGGAGAGAAGAGAGGTGTCCCTGGCCTTGCCAGTTATGTTTCCCGGCAGTGTCCATGCGCATCCCCAGGGGGACGTGTGCCACTTTCACCCCTCCCTCAGGGAACTCGGACATTTCTGCACATGTTGTGGGGAGGGTACACGTGGGTTTGGCAGGGAGAGGAAAAGGAGACGGAGTTTGGTCAGTGGGGGGAGGTGGAAGAGGGGAGCGGACTGGGTCCGGTGGGGGGGGGGGTGGCTGGGAGGGAAGAGAAGGTGCAAGGTGGATTAGGTGTGGACAGAAGGGAGGGCAGACGGGGTCCAGTCACTGAGGGGTCGGGTTTGCCTGGGAGGGGAGAGAAGGTGGAAACTGGGTTCGGTGAGTGGGTGGGGTGGGGGCGGTATGTGAGTGGAGGGGAGATGGGATGTAGGCTGGGTTTGGCTGGAGGGCATGGTGGGAGTCAGAGCCGCAAGGTGAAAGGTGCGCTTTCCTCCTCGGTGCCAGTCCTGCAGCAGTGAGATGGAGGGTGGCCAAAAATGTTTTGCTTGGGGCAGTAAAAAACCTAGAGCCAGCCCTGATTACGGAAACATGTTTTTCCTGCCTTATCCTTATGGCACAGTGGGCCGTGTCTCAAGCAGTGCAGTGGGTTGAATTCCTGCAGTGAGGACCTTTAACAAGGCCCAAATTGGTGGTGGAGTATGCTTTTTACCATCTGGTAGGCTATATGTTCTTGGAACATGCTGTGGGTGGTACAGTATGTGTGCAGAAAAATGAATCTGGTCACTAGACTCATGCCCATTGACCTAAAGTCTCTCTGGGAAGCCTTGCTGATATTAAGCCCATTTGCATAGTATCCAGATGTTTGGAACTGATCCTAAGGGAGGGTTTTGCTGCAGGGCCAGACCAAACAGCTTGCCCATATGTAAGGAAACCTAGAGGTTGGATTTCATGGACTGACTGACACACTTTGAGCAAAGCCTTTCAATTGTCAGTGACATCCATAAGTCCTGCTAACTTCAGGAACTGGGATAGAATTAATGGGAAATTGGAAACCACTGTCAGCTGTAATCTTGTGCACTAAGCCCACCTAGCCCACTCCGTTTGTAAAGTGGACTGTCGTCTTAGTAGTTGTCCTAGCACCATGGCCATCCCAAGGGAGGCACGTAGCTTGGGGCAGCCTTCCTCCTAGGCGCCAGGCCTAGCGCAGCCCCCTGCTGCAGGCCCTGCCTCTTCTCTCCTCCCTCCCCCAACCTCCACTCCACTCATTAGGAGGGGGGTTGCAAGCTGGGAGAGGGTGGCACATCAGGGTGGAGAAGGCTGCCGGGCTCCACCGGTTCCTGCCGCACGCATGGTGAATGTCCCCCTAATCGCTTGGGTCCCTCTCCTCCATAGGAGGGTTGAGCCGGTTATGGGGGGCTCCCAAAAGTGCAGGTTTTGGGGCAGCCACCGCTATTCATCCTATACAGTCTGTCTAGCCACCCTCATTTTCTTCCAGGATAAACCAAAAATTGACTAACTATAGTTATGTCCCCACAAACCACCCAACTGATCATGCTGCCATGATTCTAGGGGTTTTTTATGAGACAGTGAACTTGCTTTTTGTTTTCTAAATGAAATTTTAAATACCCATTTACAGTGGAGCATAAAATTTCACTATATGAAAAATGTATTCAGTGTCATTGCTACCTTTTATAAATTTGAGCTAACTCTGATGTTTCCAATAGTAGTTTCTGGATGTACATAAAATATCCGTATGTTATCATACGGATGGATGGGTGTCTTAACTGGAGCTGGAAGAGACACAGGTTTCCCATCCTACAAAATGTTTTGAAATATTAATAACTTTCCTGTTCCACAATGGAATAAAGCTGAGATCTTGCAGTTTTATTTTTCAAAAAAATTACACACACCTTTATCCAAAATTGCCAACATAACTCAGCAATCAGCGAATTCAAGTGAGATGTCTGAGTGACAGTGTAGTAACAAGGACTATCAAGTTTTTTTTTAAAAAAGTGATTAATTGTGCTACTAAATAATAGAATACCATTTATTTAAATATTTTTATTTCATTTTCAAATCTATTGATTTCAATTACAGCACACGATGCCAAGTGTAAAGTGCTCACTTTATTTTTTAATACAAATATTTGCACTGTAAAATAACAAAAGCAATAATATTTTCAATACATCTAATACAAGTAGTGTAGTACCATCCCTTTTTTAATGAAAGTTGAGCATACAAATGTGTAATTATATATCCAAAAAACAACGTTGTTCTTTTTTTCTCTCCAGTCCATTCAATCCTTTTTCTTCATCCAGTTAAGACAAATTTGTTTACGTTTGCGGAAGATAATACTTCATGTTTTTTATTTACAGTGCAACCTGAAAATGAGTGGATTTTTAGCCTGCATCGTAAAATATGTGTGCAAGATACAGTAAAGTTTGAAATCTAGAAGCCTCTGCTGATTGGCTGAGCCTTGGTAGGGGGAGGGACTATCAGGCAGTCCAGGGCTTAATAAAGGAGTGAGTCCGTGACCAGGGAGCTTGCGAACAGGTGATTGCAAACAGGGAGTTTAGAGAAGGAGTTTGGAAGGGGAGGGAGAAGGAGACAAGGTACTCTTGCCTTTCCTTTAAACCCTTTTTTAGGACAGCGGGTATGGATAGTGATAGGTCTCTTGCTGTTACCTGCACAGTATGTGCCACGTTTGTCTTCCTCCCAAAAGAAAGAAAGGATTTCATCTGAACTAAGTGCAAGCTGGTTGCCATTTTGGAGGAAAAAATTAGAGGACTGGAGTTGATCAGAGAGGATGAAGACTTCCTCAATAGATGGCAGCATTTAATCCTGGCAAACAAGGCAGGCGGAAGAGCCAGAGAGGGCAGTACAGGATGAGGAAGAGAACTGGCAGCATGTAACTTCTAGAAGGAAAAATAAGGCCAGCACAGGAATCCCCCATTCCAACAGA